ACAAAATGAAATGGTCAGTTGCAGTCGGGCGTGTAGACATGCAGTTGTAGTCAAGGGCGACACTTGCAGTTGCAAGCCTAGTGTCAGACATGCAATTTCCTCCCCCCTCCCGCCGCCTACCGAGAAAAAAAGATCGGCTGCTGTTGGATGTATGAACATGCAGTTGAAATCGATGATGACACTTTCAGTTGCAAGCCTACTGTCGGACATGCAATTGCCTCCGCTTCTCCCGTCGCCCTTTGACAAAAAGACAAGGCCAATTGCAGTCTGAGGGGAGACATGCAGTTACAGTCGGGACGACACTTGCAGTTGCATGTCTAGTATCGGACATGCAACTCCTCCTCTCCAACCGCCGACTTACAAAAACAAATGTTAGTTGCAACCGGGGTGTGTGGGCATGTAGTTGCAGTCAGGGGCGACACCTGCAGTTGCAGGCCTAGTCTTAGCCCCTCGCCTATCCCCCTCCCCCACCCCGTCCAACAAAATAATATCCAGTTGCAACCATGTTGGAAGACATGCAGTTGTATTCAAGGTCGACACTTGCAGTTGCAAGCCTAGAGTCGGACACACAACCGCCCCCTCTTCCGCCACTCACTTATAGAACAAAAGTTTAGTTGCATTCAGTTGTGTGGGCATGCAATTGTAGTCGAGGACAACACTTGCATTCGCAAGCCTAGTGTCGGGCAAGCAACTACCTACCCCTCTTTCGACACCCACCTACAAAACAAATGTGTAGACATGCAGTTGCAGTCGAGGGTGATACTTGCAATTGCAAGCCTAGTGTCGGACATGCAACTACCCACCCCCTCTTTCGACGCCTACCTACAAAATAAAAGGTCGGTTGAGGTTGGGTGTGTGGACATGCAGTTGCAGTCAAGGGCGATACTTGCAGTTGCAAGCCTAGTGTCGAACATGCAAATGCCCCCTCCTTCTCTCGCCGCCCTCCAACAAAAACACAAGGCTAGTTGCATTTTGGGAGGAAGACATGCAATTGCAAACGGGAGCGACACTTGCAGTTGCAAGGCCTAATGTTGGACATGCAACCGCCCCCCTCTCCCATGGCTGATTTACAAAACAAACGCCGGTTGCAGTCAGGTGTGGGCATGGAGTTGCGTGCCTAGTGACATACATGCAACCACCTCCCTCCACAAAACACCATAGAATTTCGGGTGGGTGTGACACTTGTAATTGTGTGACTAGTGAAAAACATGCAACTTCCCCCGCTTCCCGATAAAACACTACTGAGTTACAATATCAGTCGGGGACGACACTCCACTTGCATGCCTATTGGCAGACATGCAACTACCCCCCCTCCCCTGACAAACACACCACTAAGTTGCAATCGCGTCGAAGACATGTAGTTGTAGTTGGGGACCGCACTTGGAGTTGTGTGCCTAGTGGCAGACATGCAACTGCCCCCTCTCCCGACGAAAAAAGAAAAAAATATACGCAAAGGTCAGTCCTTCACCAATTGCATGTGGAGTAAGACGTGTGTAGTTGTGCACGGATAAATGAACATGCTACATACAATGAATTTTTCCTTCGAGGCTAAAAATAAAGAATAAATAAAAACATAGTTATACACGAATACAATGTCTGCTGATGAGAAAAATAAGCGTGAAAAATTAATAATTAATAAAATTCAAAAAAAATAAAAATGGAAAAACACACAAACATACTTCAAAGAAGAAATTATGAGAGAGCAAAGAACAAGAAAAAATGAGAAGAATGGAAATAATTGATAATTTTAAAAGAACAAACAAAAAAATCAAAAGGAAAACTATCCTAGAAACCCAAAATGAATTAGCACAAGCCATTTTGAAAAAAAATAGTACATAATGTTGCGACCAGAAAAAGGAAATGCAACACAAATTTGCACGAATTGGCTCATAGATTAAACAATTTATCGCATTACAAAATCTTATACGAGCAAAGTTTGACCCACAGCATGGAGGAAAATAAAAAAAAATGCATGGAGGAAAATAGAAGTGTGCATTGATTATGACATGCTACAAGATATAGGGAAACATTGGACACACATGTTGATCTAGTAAAAAAACAACACAACGCTTTGCTCTCTGCAGTTTGCATGGTCTATTTTCAATCGTAGCCCAACAAACAAAAACAAAAAGAAACAGGCCGGCCGTGTCATCCTAACAGGCTGATTTAAACATGACAAGCAGCTAGCATAAAAAAAAATCAATGAAGGCATCAACTGAGACTTCGATAGAAATCAGTCGACTGATTTTTAGTCCTTCCGATAATGGATTTGATGATGTTTCCTACTTTGGTTGCAAGTGATATTGCAGGTCGCCACATGTATCACGTTGCATATTTCCAAATACAACAATTAAATAATTCTTTTCGGACTCTGGACTCAAGACTCATGGTCCATTTGTTTCAATACAAGTTTCAAGAGGAATATACAAATTATTCATGTGAAATCTTGTACGACTAATTTTTATCCCTGTACTTGCTTTGGACTCTCCATGATTTTCCAAAATGTATTCAGGTTTTGGTGGTCGATTACAAACTAACCTACCCCAGTGGGACAGCAACTACTGTTCTTATTAATGGGTTTCATACCCCCAAGGGAGACAAGAATGTAAAGTATGGATTCTATCACCTCTGTCATGCCCATTACATAACATAACATTGCAATTGCAATTGATTCACTAAAACATTGAATCAAACAAGGTATGATGAATTATTCCTTGATTTTTCATGACAGGAAGCAAGTCCATGGGTTCCTAAAATACTTCGGGATCAGCTTTATGTGGAGCTTCTTTCAATGGTTCTACACTGGAGGCCCTGTTGGCGGTTTTGTGCAGTTCCCTACTTTTGGTCTCAAGGCTTGGAAACAAACGTATGCATTTTTTGCTTTCTATATAGTTTCACACTATAATATATCAGTAACTTTTCGTACGCAACAAACTCTGTTAATTAATGTTTCTTGGTGTGACAGGTTCTTCTTTGACTTTAGCCTCACGTATGTGGGTGCGGGAATGATTTGCTCACACCTAGTGAACCTCTCCACTCTCTTGGGTGCAGTTCTTTCATGGGGGATAATGTGGCCACTCATTAGCAAACAGAAGGGGGTTTGGTACCCGGCAGATGTACCATCAAGCAGCATGAAAAGCTTGTACGGTTACAAGGTATCTACCCTTTTTTTGGTCAACTACTTTAATAAATAATAGACATCACTTAAAGAGTGGACGTCACTAGTATTAATTGCTCTTGTTACAGGCCTTCTTTTGTGTAGCTCTAATAGTTGGAGATGGCCTTTACCAATTCTTGAAAGTCACATATGTCACTAGTAAAAGCCTACATCAACGATTAAACAACAAAGTTGTTACCAACAAAGGTGAGGAAAGCATACGTTTTCAGTACTTCAATTCCCTCATTTAAACTCAGGTTCTGTTCTAACGTGTAGCCTATAAAAAAATTCAGTGACAAATAGGGATGGTATGGCTTCACTAGAGGAAATCCAGCGCGATGAGATTTTCAAGAGTGACAACATACCCTCATGGATAGCATACACTGGATACGTCGTGCTTAGCATCATCTCATCAATCAGCATACCCCTGATGTTCCGTCAGATAAAGTGGTACTATGTGATAGTAGCATATCTCCTTGCACCTGTGCTCGGGTTCTCCAATTCCTACGGAGCAGGTCTCACTGACATCAACATGGCCTACAACTACGGCAAGATCGCCCTCTTCATCTTCGCAGCCTGGGCTGGCAAGAAAAATGGTGTAATTGCCGGCCTGGTTGGTGGTACGCTTGTGAAGCAGTTGGTCCTGATGTCTGCCGAATTGATGCATGACTTGAAGACGAGTTATCTCACGTCAACATCCCCAAGATCCATGCTTGTGGCACAGGCTATCGGGACGGGCATGGGCTGCATCGTCTCACCCCTCACCTTCATGCTCTTCTACAAGGCATTTGATGTTGGGAACCCAGATGGCTATTGGAAGGCGCCGTATGCACTCATATACCGTAGTATGGTGATTCTCGGTGTGGAAGGCTTCTCAGCTTTGCCAAAGCACTGCCTCTCAATCTCGGCTGGAATTTTTGCATTTGCGATGCTTCTGAGTATTGCAAGGGATATCCTACCACGCAGGTATGCCAAGTATGTTCCACTACCGATGGCAATGGCGGTGCCTTTCCTTGTAGGTGGGAGCTTTGCCATTGACATGTGCATTGGGAGTTTAGTGGTATTTTTGTGGGAGAAGATGAACAAGAAGGAGGCTGCCATCCAAGTGCCTGCTGTTGCATCCGGCTTGATATGCGGGGATGGCATATGGGTATTCCCATCTTCCCTACTTGCTCTTGCCAAGATTAACCCTCCAATCTGCATGAAGTTCACTCCTGCCAGCTAGGGAGCTTTCTCAGTCACACCTTCTTCAACTATCTTTGGATTTTACGTTGTGCTACAAGTGCTCCATGGTTTGAACTTTGTGGAGTACATTTTATGGTGTGTGTGTGTGTGTGTGTGTGTATGATTCCATGGCATTAGATCTTTGTCGCGAGCGTTGATTCTTACAATTTTATATTGGTCGTGTGCTTATATTTTCAATCAAGTGTATCTACTGAGTTTATCCTGACATGTAATGAAGTCTCTGACTGTAAATTTTTCAGCAATCTTAATATTTTTTAGACAAAGGTAAACTTTATTCACAATGATGTGCACCTGCACTTTTTTGTGGAGTCAGATGCATACACATGGTTACACTACTAGGGAAACCCCTATAGGCATATGCTTAGTAGTAGCACGGGGTGGAGACTGCGCGCTACAGTTAATTAGTAGCAGTGCGGGGCTAAACCCCATGCTACAGGTAGTACATAGTAGTGCCGTGGATAGAGCGGCCCCGTGCTATTACTAAGTGGTCCCCATAGTACCCCTGGGGCAGGCCACAGTAGCAACATTGGGTATACGACCCATGCTATAGCTAATCTAATAGCAATAACGTCGTTTGTGTACGGGTTCAACTGGTGGGTTCCTCTTAGCAGTAGCGCGGGTACATACGCCCTCTCTATAGGTACTAACTATGGCGGAAGTGCGGGCGGGTTATCCCGCGCTACTACTAAGGGTGCCATCCAAAATATCAGCCACATTTTCCCCCTCCTCCCTTCCCCTTCCCTTTCCCATAGCCTGCTTTCCTCTCTCATTTGCTTTCTTATCTCTTCCTTCAATTCTCCCCCTCCTCCCTCTCTCTCCTTTGCCCCTCCACCATCTCCATTAATGGCTCCCTTTCATCTCACTTGCTTTCTTCTCCCTCTCTCTTCCTTCTTCCCACATCTCTTGCCCCTCCACTTCATTGACTCACTATCTCTCTCTCCCACTCCAACAGTTATACTCATCTCTCCTCCCCAAGTAGATCTACTTATTTAATGAAGTAACTTATCTACCTCCCCCTCATAAATAAAGAAGGGGCATTAATTATCCTTGCCCACTTCGATCCTTTGCGACACCAGCCTCATTACTATGCTCCCTATCGAGATAGGTGGGTAAAAAGTAGTGTTATGCAAGACTGGAATTTGTGTGATATGACTGAATTGTGGGATATGATTGAATTGTGTGATATGACCGAATTGTGTGATATGACCGAATGGTGCGACATGACTAAATCGGGTGATATGATGGAATTGGTTGTGGCATGAGTTGCCTATGTGTATTTGCCGAATTGTGCGTGACATGAGTTGCCTATGTTTTTCGGAAATGTTCATTTATTTACGTTTTGATGAATTTCGGGCAAACTCGATCGATATGTCCTATTTAATCCCACTCTTTCTCATAGTATATCATAATTTAGATCGATGATGAAACATTTGTATGTGACCATGTAGTTGTTGTTTCGAGATGATGATGAGACATTTGTGTTGGATCATTACGATGATGATGATGATGATGATGAGACTATGTTGTAGCACTTCGATGATGATGATGATGATGATGACGATTAGACATTCTTTTCTCATATAATTTCAATGTATGTGTATGTTGCTATTGTATAAAACCTGTATATATACAGAGTAAATACGCAAAAATATATACAAAAAGTCTTAGTAGTGGCGCGTGATAAGAGGGTAGCAGCGGCACTAGTGCAGCCCTACTACTACATAGACTTAGTAGTAGTGTGGGGTTCATCCCGGCACTGCAGCTAGCTAGCAGTAGCGCTGGGTTGACCCACGCTACTGCTAACTCTTTGTAGCAATAGTGCAGGGTACCACACGACACTACTGTTAGAAAGCTAGTTGTAGCGCGCTAGCAGTAGCGCGGTGCCCCATGCTCTGCTAGGCTGTTACCCCGCGCTGCTAGTAGGTTTTTTCCTAGTAGTGTTGGATGGAAATTTCATCGCCACCAAGATATATACATGTATATGTCCAACACATCCTATGTATGAGAAGATTATCCTTCACTTATTTTCTAGTCCAAGCACCATTTTTAGCAAACTTCACCGTGTTATATTCCGAGACTTGTGGGGATAAACCCCACATAATGGTATAAATGTTTACAGCAGTTGTGAATAAGAAAAAAAATTACACGTGTATGGATATATAATACCGGCAACAAGCATTGAACTAGCAACTTCCCAAAGCCACATGAGGACGTCGTGATGAGCAAAGTGTCCCAAGGCTAACACCACCGCTAACCGGAGCGGTTCACCTCGCCGTCTCACAACTTTGGTTGCCACCAGATCGGCAGAAAGGATACCCTCCAGAGAACCTCAAGTCAAACCACCAAGTGGATTCAAGGATGCAGAGTCTGCCAGCACCATACAAGATTAATAAGCACATGCACCGACAGTCGAAGAAAACCATTCCTCGGTTGGAGATCTCTACACATGGAATCCTGCAACACGAAGGAGCTAGCTCCAATGTCGACGTTCTTTGTGACTGCACTGTGGGCCTCCTGAGTAGAGGTTGGAGGTGGAGAAGGCATGAAGAGAACAATGCTGCTGTCTAAGATTGACCCCATGTCAACACAACAGAATGACCAGAAAACATCACCTACAGGGAAGGGAACTGACGCAATAATTGAGAACAGCAACACAGGCCTCGGCTCCAAGACAACCAGCGGAAAACCTTCAGAGATCGAAGATGGAGCATAATAAGATTAACACCGGAGAAGATGAAGAAAAAAATCAAGGTCCGACAACTGAAACTTGGATGAATATGGTGACCAAAATCTGCTAGTAGAGCTCCAAATTATGAGAAGAGGGAGTAGATCTAGCAAGAACAGATTAAGAGACGTTTTTAGGGGATGGGGGAATCAAGGGAAACTAGAAGAAAACCATCACAAACGTCCACCCCAAGTGTCACCTCGACCCAAACTCACTATATCCTCCACATCAACGAGCACAACAAATGACATACTGATGATGACCATGTGCCAAATACCACCAAGAATGTAAACCTAACAACGTTAACTAATACTAAAGGTAGGGAGTGCAAGGACCCCCTCCCCATCTCTCACCTCCCCATCTGGTGAGGCCACTTGATCTAGTAGAGAGAGGGGCTGGAGGAGGAGGACGAGGAGAGGTGGGATACAAGGGAGACATATATGCAGAGTGAGCAAGGCTGGGTTGTCCACCCACCATGTGAGGTACTACCTGTTGCGTGCACACTCTTAACATTTCATGTAGTTTAACTATGTTTAAAAAATATTCAAAACTCAACAACTTATGAACTGAGCATTAAAATTATGATCCGTTCACCGTTGGAGCTCCTAGACTAGCTCTTCAAAACTAAATCCCTTATGTGATTATGTTTCAATGAATAGTTTTTTGGAAGGTGAGACATTGCACATGGTTGAGAAAATATCGTGGCATATGGAACTAAGGCCCTCACCATCGGCATGTTGGACACACATCACGCATGGTTACTAGTTGTCATTGGCAAGATATTTTCTATGAAGGTGAGACTTTCCATTGAAGGATGAGTCAGAGAATCTTCATGTGGAGTTAAAGATTATCCATAATGATTGACTAAAATGTCTAGAGAATACCATTTTTTTGCGGCGAACCAAACCTTCATACATCAACTTAGAGGACATCTTAAATATGTGAAACCTCTATAGGCCTCACACAAGATGATTAGGCTATGGGAGCTTTGCTACACCCAAGAATGGAGTCGTCTATGCAACTGAAAGATTTGAGTAGTCGATTCGATAACCATGATTGAATCCTATGCTGGGCCCTAGACGGCAAAGAGATTCTGGTCCAATATCTTACGGAGCTCATGTGCTTTCGTAAGGACAAGGAGTACATACCACTTCCCCGTTATCCACCGCAAGTCTATTAGTATAGAATGGCATTTCATTTTCATTTCGTTTGCACGTATCTCTGTCTACTTACATCCCTCGGTTCAGATTTACATAGTAACTTCGGTCCTCGTTGAGATCTTTCCTATATTGGTCAATGATTTTTTATCTTTATTCCAACAAAAAAGGGGTCAAACCTCAATGGCATCTAGTAATTTTTGTTAAGGATTTGGTAGCACCTCGAAATAAGACATGTTTGGGACTCCATTATAAGTACTAATGCAGAGTGGAACCTAAAGTTCATGTGACTTGTGGGTAACAACTATGCGCCAATGTGGACTCGTTTGTTCAGTCAAGAAGCCAACATTGATGATGTGATACGATATCACCGAAAACTTTCTGCTATGAGCTGTGTAATGACATGTATAACTGGAAGGTGAACTTTACATGCATCCAACATATCTTGGTGCACATCATTGACTATGACGTGAACCTACCAAAGGAAGAATTAATCATTGAGACAAAAATGTGTTAAAGCATATAAGCACTTTCGACTTGACTTGCAGTGGTCAGTTACACAAGACGGGAAGATAGTTTCCTTCTTCAGAGTCCTTTTATCCCAATATTAAGGATAATGTGTGGGCCTTTACTGAAAGAAGATGGTTGATCCCCTTGCCGATGATATGTCTCCAACGTATCTATAATTTTTTATTGTTCCATGCTATTATATTATCTGTTTTGGATGTTTAATGGGATTTAATATACTCTTTTATATTATTTTTAGGACTAACCTATTAACCGAAGGCCCAGTGCAAATTGTTGTTTTTTGCCTATTTCAGTGTTTCGCAGAAAAGGAATATCAAATAGAATCCAAACGGAATGAAACCTTCACGAGGATCTTTCTTAGAACAAACGCAATCCAGGAGACTTGGAGTGGAAGTTAGAGACGCAACGAGTTGGCCACGAGGCAGGAGGGCACGCCTAGGGGAGTAGGCGCACCCCCACCCTCGTGGCCCCCTCGTAGCTCCACCGACCTACTTCTTTCGCCTATATATACTCTTATACCCTGAAAACATCCAGGAGAGCCACGAAACCACTTTTCCACCGCCGCAATCT